AGCGGTCGGGCTCAGTCTCCTACAACTGTCTAGCCAAATATCGCCATTGGGTATCGAGATCTCTCTCAGCGCGAGCTCTTGCGGGAGATAACCCGGTGCTTGCTCTGGAGCCAAAAATTCAGGAATGTGAGCTGGATAAAATATCAGATTGAGGAGTACTTCACGCAAGCATGCCATTCAGTTAGATGTGGAGGGTCAATTTTGCTGGTCGAAAGCTAGCCGTCTTCGGAAAGAAATGGGCGCTGGTTACCAAATCTCGACGAGGTCACAGAAATTACGAATTCTTATCGATTACACGTTCATCACGTACGAGAAATCATATTTTATCGCGAGTCGTTGAGCGCTTCTTTATTCACGTATTCCATGTACGAGAAAAAAACACAGCGTAAGGACGTTGTTTCGTAAGCGCGTTTTCAGCGCCTAATCGCCTCAGATAACCCTTTCACCCATCAATTTCCCGTGCAACGATAACGGAATTAAACGTTCTCAGGGACACAGTAATATCTTCGCTGTGATACTTTCAGAGGGAAGGAGCGCCTATATTCCCCATTTCTAAGGGGAAGGGGAAGGAGGGAAGAGGTTCCGTTCTCTCCCGGGCCAGGTCAACGGAGCTGGAGAAACCGTGGCATAGGGAATGCTAAAATATTTCATTCATCTGATAATCATCGAATTATCAACTCAACAGCTCATCCTTTTGATAAAATCTGACCTGGGGGAGGGCCACATAGAAGACTTATGTCCAGAACGGCGCTGGCTTTTGGAAAAAGATCGCTTGGAACGTGAAGGGTTGGGAAGTCAGGCGAGTCCATCACAGCAGTTCAGGGGCCTAGATCTATCCTTCATTATGTTCCGCTATATCCCCCCCCCCCCAGACAGCATTCAGCCAACGTCAGACTTTGCGAATCGAGCGAGTCGCTAGCATTTGCGGTTGCGTTGCAGTACTAGCCAATAAAACGATTCACTGGCCGCAACGCGACGCGGAGACGCCGCTGAAACTCGCTCGATTCGCCAAAGTAATGACATCACCTTCAGTCTCATAATGTCTGCATCAGTTTGGATGTGTTGGTCTCGGAGCGTGATAGACAAGAGATTTCTATAATGCGGAGCACTTGCAGACCCTGTTCGACTCACCAGACAAATCCGTATCGGTTCTCCATCTGATTTTGGCCGCAGCCAGCGAGAATGCCACTGTGGCCGATCTGTTGTCTCGCTACGGTCATGGACAGGCTCTTCTGATGCAGGGTGGGCTGAATCGATTGACCAGGTGAACTACTCTTTAACAAAACAGTCGATTCAATCGATCAAATGAAATCGATCGATTTCAGAGCCATGGCTGAGGATATGGACGTCCAGCTGAACGAGACGGTTACCAGCATTGAGGAAGGTGACTTCTACTTTGTTAAACCAGTTGGCCTCCCATCGTAGGTAGCCCAGAAAACTTTAGCAGTGAGAACGCGGTTCCTCTGGGCGCGTATCACTATACGGAGGCATTCTTCCAAGAATAAGGCTGGGCGAAGGGGGCAGAGAACTCTGACCGAAATCCAATGCTTCATGCCACCTGGAGATATCTCCTCCCCCCCCCGGTGTTTAGCCGACTCAACGGAACTGCATATTTTGCGCAGTTTCGAATGCATTGTTACCACAATGCCCCCGTATATTGCGGTAGCGCCGCGTTGTTTATCCGTCTGGCGAGTGCAGTAGCGCAGTCTGCTCCAGTTGTAGGCCCTATTTATTTCAATGCCACAGGTTCCCGTAGGCCGTGTTGCCACCTAGGCCGGATTGGCTATAGTCTAGAATTTACACTTCCCGTCGTGTACGGGAGTGGGAATTTTATTGGGGTCCCAAGCGCTGCTCCTAATTTCTCGCTCCAAGTGAGCTCTGACTTCCTGCAATCTTGCTCAGCGCCATTCTACAGAGTGACGTGAAACGCCCCCAATTCGGGGATCAAGCTCGACAGTCGTCTTCACCTGAGCCTCCCGTTGTCAGCATCACCGATCAAGTTCAAGCCCTCAGCTCAACAAACTACGCACAATTACAGTGAGTTTTCCCCTGTTTTTCACCGCCGAATGACAGAATCTAAACGCCTACTGACGAGAAGGCTATTCGATCCAAGTGGGCATGTCATTGATGTGCACAATTACGTTTCCGAAAGTCTTTCGGGAAGGAAAAAAGGAAAATGGACCGGGAAGCATCTATATTACTATTTACATGAAGCATGAGTGATTTAGAATTGATAAATAGCTGGATAAGTGATATCGACAAAAAAGTATCTCCTATTCTATTTAAACAATCTTTTCTTCATTAGACGAGTTGACCACTCTAGTTGAATATTTCCCCCAAATACAACACTCGAAGTTGGTGAGAAGTAGCGGTGATACTGGCGACATTGCGTTATGTAGGCCGTACCACTGGTTAGGAGGTGGAGCAAGCGGATAAACCGTGCATCCGGCGATCAGACAGAGGGTGTCTCGATTTCGGGCGAGGAGGGGGACTTTAGGTTGGGGTTGAAGAAGGTGAAGAGGTCGAAACCGCGATGGAGGAGCTCTCCTCGAAGTTTGGAAAGTAATACTGAGGGATAGTTGGTTTCACGGTTTTTTGATGGATAAAAAACAAGCACTGAACACAGGAACATAAATCAAACACTTGTCCTACTTTGACATATATTACTCCACCCTCTTTCCTTAAGACATCCGATTTCCTTTCACCTCGCATTGATGGGCCGCGTTGGGAGTCTTAAGTGGCGGAGGTCACCTAGAGTGTGTCGAAATGGCGTCACAACAAAGTAATGCGTCACAAATCTGTCGTCGACGACGACCCCTGCAATACTGTAACCGACTAACTCCTCTAACTCGAGCGGCTTCTCGAGTGGGCGGAGTGCGGAGTATTTCCTAAGATAGCACACATTCTACATCTGCGAGCGTAGGGAACGGTCCATCCTCCCACGTATCTCTCAATCTCTCTTAGTAATAAATATTCCACTGAGCCACCGTTTTATCGTTGCATTAAAAGGGTCACCAAACCCAAGTCTTCCGCACCCATCCTAGATATCTGGTGCATCGGCCTAACAGCCAAATTTCCCGCGTCAAAGAGTAACATCTTTGGGGCCTGGAACGAAGACAGCTCTTTCACGAGCTAAATCTCACGGTCTTTTTCAAGACCTAGAATCTTAATTGATTCACCCCTCATCAGGGAAACTCCCGTACCACGTACCTGGAGACAACTTCTGTAGTTTTTAAACTCAGAAATTTAGTTTTTCACACCGGAAATCGCGCAAAAAATGGCGTTGCACTTCCACAGAATCCCAATCAGTAACAGCGCAAAGACGCTGAAGAATCTGATTTCTAGATACACAGAGTATACAAAGAAAGTAGAATATCCTAGAATAGACGAGGAAAAACTACGAAATGTGTAAAGAAACTACCTCACTGCTGCAAAGCAGTATAAATCAAATAAAAGAGGGCAGAGAGAATCTTATAAAACTCTACAATGAGATAAGAGAAGAATATAAAAATTGCAAAAATAAGTCCGATAAAAAGGATTTAATGCTGGAAATAGAGCAAATCGAGAGCGAGTCACAGTTACACAAAGAACTGGCTAGTGCAGATGAACTTGTCTTTATGCTAACCGCACGATACGACGAGTCCAAATGTGCAAGGGATAGAATGAGTGTAAAACTCGGCTTCATTACCCAAAGGTCCCTAATATTAACGATGCCTTCATCCGGAGGCCTTAGATTCAGCCAAACTGATGCAAAACCAGACAAGTTCAACACGTAGGTAAACCAGGGCGGAACCAATACAGGTACCTCAAGCTCATCTTTGTGATCTATGCTGCGAAGAACAATAGAGACCATGCGTCATCAAACCTTACCCCCAAGGGGGGGGATGTTTTTTACTACCCGTTCGAACTGCAATGTAGAGGATTTTCCGGAATACTGGGCAATTTTTGATGCTCTTGTCCATAACAGTCAGGAACTAGACATCATGGAAAAGATCTTGCTCCTCAAGGAAAGTCTCAAGGGTAGAGCGCAGGCTTCAATAAAGGGAATAATGCTTGTGCCACAAAATTATGAGTGGATAATTCAAACATTGAAAGAGAATTACTGCAATCAGCCTGCAAATAGGTCACAAATAGTGCAGAAACTAATCAATTTGGAACCAGCAAACAACTCTGCAGCTTCGACGCACCTGCCATACTTTAACGACTATCCGTCTAACTCGAGCGGCCTTCTACGAGTGGACGGATGATGCGGAGATGAATTTCTAGATAGCGGACATTCTAATCTGCGAGCCGTGGGGAAACGGTCATCTCCCGTGAGACATAATTTCTCTGCGAGCGTAGGGAACGGTCCATCCTCCCACGTACTCTCAATATCTCTCTTAGTAATAAATATTCCACTGAGCCACCGTTTTATCGTTGCATTAAAAGGGTCACCAAACCCAAGTCTTCCGCACCCATCCTAGACACACATGGTGCATAGGAGTGATGGGGAAGGGGTGTATGTGATGGCCATATCGAAATCCCTCAAGGGAGCGTAAAAAAACTGAAACCCGACCAAAGCAACGTCTGACCCTGCTTCGGGATATCCATCGAGAAACAGATCATGGGCCGTATGCTGAATGTTGGGTAGGGGACGGGGATGGGTAAATGTTGGGGAGGTTCGTCGCAGGACCCACTGGGCAACGGTCGCACCTTTGATTTTGCAGCTTTGTTTCCATCCTTTTACTGTTTCTGATTGTATATTCGCACGTAAATACCTTTCTTTACACCAAAAGCAGCGATGAAAGAATGGAAACAAAGCTGCAAAATCAAAGGTGCGGCCGTTGCCCAGTGGGTCCTGCGACGAACCTCCCCAACATTTACCCATCCCCGTCCCCTACCCAACATTCAGCATACGGCCCCATGAAGGATCAACAATCTGGCCACATGTGATGGAAAAGGAGCAGGGTTTCTTAGCTCCCGTTAAAAAGCGAACAGAAAACCCGTATTGGAAATAAAAAATGCAAATAAGCAGAGAAAAACGTACAAGTCCCAGATTTCAGATCATCCACACCAATCCGCAGGGTCCAGTTGTATGGCTGACGGCGTTCGACGTCGGTGAACCAACCATGTGTGGTGAGTGACGCTCCTTAAGCGACATTTTCAGTTCCCAACCGGGACTTCTTTCGGATGCTCCATTCTTTCCCAGATAACAGTCAATTTAATATTATTAAGCCGGAACGGGAGCGAGTGGTGTCTTGTGGGGAATCGCCCACATCTCGGAGGACTTGGCGCCGGCGCCAAGACGAGCTGCCTATCTGGACGTCGTCACTCGAGCACTTGGAGGAAACGGACAGCAACCGTTGGCTATCAGGCAAGTAGCAATACATTCCAGAGTAATTTCTAAGGAATTGGGTACACCCATGGAGAGCAGGTCAGCAGCCATCAAGGTGAGCTTTTACCCACCCTCATGAATCAACAACCTGTTAAAGGTGAAGGTCCGCGCTCAGGCGGCGCTAGGCGCTAAGGGCTTTGATCAAATCCCACCCAACAGCCAAGGCCCGCCCAGCGTTCGATATCTTGTCTGCGTCGCAACGTTGATTGCTATGCTCTCTCTGCTCGGCTTCTTTACCCTCTCCGCGACCCACATTATCTCTCATCTCCCTGCCTTCCTACGAGAACGGAATAATCGTGGTTGGGCGTGAACCTTATCAGCCATCATTTTTCTAAATGAGGCAATGTTTCAGTGAGGAGTACTTCGCGGCAGATCCATCCAGCCGTGGTTCCATAGCTGTTCTGCCGCCAAATGTCGACATCTCCTCGCTTCAATATCTACAAGGAGTGAACGACCATGGAGAGGTTCGCCTAACATTTCTCATGTCCCAACCCTTTAAGTACTCTTATCCAGCGGATACTGTTCGCCTCTGCCGAGTACTCGAACGTCTCTATGGGACTGATGAACGGAGCCGTTCTTTCTGGAAAAGCAGCTGGAGAGATGGTGGCGCGCCGTCTGCGAAGTGTTGCCGGTGCGTTGGATTCTTTTTGAGGCTTTAGCCTACTTCGGCGCCCACCTGAGAAGGGTGTGATATATTGGTAAATCCACCGACCCATTCGGGTGGAGAACCACGTGGACTTGCCCGGGAATCGGTCTAAAGAGCTCCTCGGGAGCAAAGGAGTCCTCGCCCCAGGCCTATGTCAGATTTTGCGAATTGAGCGATTCGCTAGCGTCCGCGGTCGCGTCGCGGCCAGCGAATCGCTCGATTTGCAAAGTCTGACATCGGTCTAATTGGGGAGAAGGGGTCGGTTCAGACCTCAGGAAGGTCGTTGACCATGGCATTTCTCGACATGTGGCTGACCCTGTCTAAATTACCGGTCTTACCAAGAACCATCCAAGATAGAGTGCTCTGGAGCTGATGCAGCAGTACCCGTCCATTCATGGGTCCCCAAAACTATGCATCTCTGGACGCATCCCCCTATCCTTGGACCGAAGTAGAAACGCGGTTTTATGGACCCATCCCTGGCCGGGTACTGCTGCATGTGACCCTGCTCAGTTCATTTCCAGAAACCGATCGGGAAGACAACGAGATCGCCAATCTTATCCGCCTTAACGATGAGGTCGCGAAGACCACTCGACCACTTCAGGTCTGATTTTAGTTCTTCCTCATTTTGCTACAAGATGGCATTTCCATGCGATCTTTCCACCTCTTGCTCGTTGTTCCTACCCACTAGCGAGTCCATTTCCAGGTTTCGGTAGACAGTAGACCAACCAACGACACCACGACTGCCGCTGCATTCGTCTACAACACCTCAACACATTACCCACTCACTCAGCCCATCGAGGTCACCACCTTCAAGCACTTCAGTTTCGGGAACGTCGACGTCGATGAAGAAGATGATCCGAGCAATGGTAGGCATTAATTTTGGCATGACCGGGGACCTATTGACCTACCATGACGACTTCTACTGCCTGCCACTTCGAGCTACTTCTTCACTTTCAAATTCCCCTGTAAGCAAGTTCTCATTTTACAGTAATCCAGAACGACGAGACCACAGGAGAAAGTGCTGGCGTAGACACAGCCAGTGAAGGGACGTCTTTCGTCTACCACACGTCGACTCTCAATCCACCTGCGGAACCGCTGGAAACGTCAACGTTTAAGCATTTCAGTTTCGGGAACGCTGAACAAGGTAAGCGATAGTTACTCTACAGGTATGGTATTCCGAGAGTCGGACTTTAGAAGATTCCCTTGCTAAAACGGATCGTGATTCGCCTGGAGGCGAGGTACTCTAGAAGGGTCCAATTTTCGAATATGAGCTTGTTCTTCGGCTATTTGCTGTTTCCAGCACCACTCTTCGTGATGCCGCCACGATCGGGGCCTCCTGCCGCCACGGCCACCTTCCCGACGACAACAACAACTGCCCGAAGCACATTTACTCCAAGTAACAGGAACAGGAGCACGACACCGTTCCAGTACCACACCTCGACGATCAACACGCCAGTTGAAGCGGTTGAAGCAGCTCCTTTCGTGCATTTCAGCAATGGAAATGTTGACGCAGGTACGTCGGAGCGTTTAGGCAATTAAGCGTGCACTACTGCAAGATGTAGTCCAACGAGGAAAGTATTTGGGAGTGCAGGAATCACGTAGCATAAAAAGAAGGGCGCTACTGCAAAATACAGGGGCATTGTGGTGGCTATGCATTTGGAATGGCGTAATAAAACTTTGTAAAGGAAGAGAAGGAGAAATTTCAGGGTGCTGAGCAATTCTCACTTTTTGAGAAGTTCCGTAACCCTCCTAGGCTCAGTCCTAGGGGATGTTTCCGTATACTGCGATAGCGCCAAAGGAAAAGCTAAGCTGGCGCAGTGCCACCCTTTCGTTAGAAACAGGTACTAAGGAGGGAGGTCGTATTTGGCCTAAGGGGTAGGAGAGTTGTAAGAGCGGTGATCAGCAGTGGATTTTGTGGCAATACTGGCTTAGAAATGCATCGGCGAATTCGAGGCACATCGCAGGCATGGCGCACACTACAGTAGGTATTGTAGTACTGAGCGCTTTCAATTCAACTCGCCAGGAAAATTTCAGAGGAGGGGGGTCGTATTAATACCCCTGAGAGGGGCAGAGTCGTAAAAATTTGAATGTGTACCAATGTTACGGTTGACTCTGGTTGGCACAAAATTGAAGCATGACAGCAAAGCCGCAGGAATTTGCGCTCTAACCTTAGTTCGTTGGAATTTACCCAGTAGGGCATCGTATTGAAGGCCTTTTCGAGAGAGGTCGCATTTCTGATTGCTGCATAGTAAGATTTCGGAAGGAGGGTCCCATCTGAGAGGATCGTCTTGGACGGGTTTCTAACAACCCTGGCAAAAATTTCGCGAAATTCCACAAAATGTGCATGCAAAACGAGCAGACCATTTCCAGTTTCATCAGTCATATTTGTCTCCCCCTCCCCCTTTCCCCCCTCCGCTGCCAGGCGGTCCTGCCGGGGATAGCACAGGGGGGGGGTGGAGTTAGAGTGGGTCAACTGATCTGCGCACAATCAAATGCTATTGATCATGTTGGTTGGGATTTTTTATCTTTGAAGTTAAATTTTTATTTTAGCAGTATTTTGTTCCCGTGAATTTTGGGTTTGATGTTTTAATGATGACAGGTAAAGTGGCGGGGGTAATAATATTGTCAGCTCATGGGGGAGGAGTGGGGTCGTATTTGTGGGCGACCCACCTCACGTATTGTAGTACGGGGCGAGAGATAATCGAGACCTTCCAAGAAGGGTATCATAAAAACATGGGATTTCGTCCAACACCACAGGTCCTGGCTCCAGCCCAAGGGCTTTAGCAGACGGTACGATCAAACATGGACCAGTTGGAAAAGATTTTTGATTCAAACTTACTTCAGCTCCTTCAAATGACACCGTTTCGTCGTTGCCCAACCAGGACATCGCCAGGAGGCTGAAGGAGATTTTGGACGAGGTAAGCCGACGTCAGTATCGCTGTGGGCCATTCACATCGCGACCATTTTCAGGCGCCCACGTCCAGCTCACTTCAACTTGCCCGACAACTCTCTGCAATTCTCCATAATATTCTTCTTT